CTGCAGGCGCCTGGGGAGCCGGCCGGTCACCGTGCAGCCGGGGATTAGCCAGTTCCTCGCTCTCCTCCCGTGTGCTGGCGAAGGCAGCTTCTGCTGGGGAGAAACGCAGCATTTTGACTCCTTTCTGATCCTAGGTATCACCAGAGGGTGCTGTACATCGACATCGACATTCACCACGGAGACGGCGTGGAGGAAGCCTTTTACACCACGGACCGTGTCATGACCGTGTCCTTCCACAAGTACGGAGAGTACTTCCCCGGAACGGGGGACCTGCGGGTGAGAACGAAGGCTCAGCACGGGATTGCCCTGAGATTCGGTGTCTCCCATCTCTTTGCTGTCATGCTAGTGGAAGTCAAATCCCCGCGCTCCTGGGCTTTCCTGCTCCCCTGGTTCCGGGGGCGGAGGTGTGTGAGGCAGCCGGCTCAGCTCTTCGAGCGGGAGCTTTGCTCCTGTGGTCTTGGCCGGTGGAGTAACAAATCCAAGGCTTCCGTGCCGGTCTCTTGGCAGCCTCCTGGCGGGATTATGCTCGGGAAGGTGGCACGTTGGTCACCCGTAGCTCCTTGCAGACGGAGTTTGGTGACACGAGCTTTTGGCTGAAGTCGGAGGGAGCGAGTGTGTGTTGCTGTCGGGGTTTCCTCCCGCCGGTCGGCTCCGCGCGGCAACGCGTCGCGGTGTAGCTGCGCGACTCTTGGGCGCAGGCGTGGCTGGCTTTGTGACTTCGGCTCTCAGGCCTGAAAGCTTCTTTACGCTCTTTTCCGTGCTTCTTAGTGGAATTACGATATTCTGATCTGAATTCTCGTGCCTCCCACTCGGGAGTTGTTCTTTCTCAGCCCGCCGTTCGGCGCCGGGGAGGTGAACCTGCCCGCGGCTGCAGCGTTCCCTCCCGGCACCCCGCTCCGCGCCACAGGTGAAATCGTTCTTAGTAGAACATTTGGGTATGAGAGACACATGGAAATGTGAAAATAGACAGGTTATTCTAAACCAAAACCAGATTCCTTCCGTGCCTCGACCGCACGGTCAGCCCGCACCGGTGTTTTGGGCCGTGCACCTCTGCAGCGTCCGGCTTCGGAACCAGAGTTGTGGCTGGGGCG